AATATATGGGGCTCTGTGGTCATTTTTTGATAGCACTGGCAGCGGTGACATCAGTCCAGAGTGATAGGTCCAGCACGTCCCCAGGGGACACCCTACCCCCCAAAAATGTACCTGACACACCTCTGTCTTATGCAGGTAAACAGCTTCATTATATCACTGCTTTAGCTGTGATGATATAATAATTACACAATGTGTTTGTGTGCTGGAGTGACAAACAGCTTTTGATATCATATTATTGATGTAAAAGTAGGGTGTGCATTAATTGATCTACAATTTTTCAGTGGCATTGAATATGCTTGATTAATTTAGATGTGCTACATACATTTTTGACTCATTCGATTAAAGTTTGAATTTTATTATTTTTGCAATACAGATAATGAATTAAGAGGAGGTTTGTATATACAAAAAAGAAAATTTTTATTTACTTTGTTATATTTCCCTTTGTATCTTTTAAAAGTTCCCTTCTCTACCATTTCTGTCATTTTTTAGTTCAACTTTTTTTAAGTGTAATTTTTTTTATTTCTCTCTTACCAGTATTTTAAAATATCCATATCCTTAATTTCAACTCACTTCTTCATTTATATATTCACTTTGTACAATCCCCACTTGGCACGTAATAACCCTATATTTTCAGTATGGAGGCAATATGTTTTCATTGTTTTAAGAATGATTTATACTTCCATGTCCTCAGATTATTCATGTATGTGCTACATCTTATTTTGCATCCATGCAGGTTTTTATATTTCACTTTTTTTTTTAAAGTGATACATGCAAATTTATGTTTGAAACCATTTTTTTTTTCATTTTGGTGCTAATTCAGTTACTAAATCTTACCATGGGTATTTTAAAGTTTTCAGAACTGATTACTTGATTTAATTCAAGTCGAGAATAATATTAAGAATAGTATTTTTAAAGCAAAGTCTATATATGAAAAGTTTTAAATAATAAACCCAATAATTTACATAAATACATGTATAATATATGCATATATTTTATATAAATATTTATTTATGTGATATCAAGTGATATGATTCTGGCCATGAAATAGTCAAATTTTAAAAATTAATTACAAAATGCACGACTGTTTGTAATGTAAAAATGTTATAAAATAGCTAAAATTTTTCTGGTTTGATAAAGGAAACAATCCAGACAGTTTTTAATGATAATGTCACAAACTGGAGGGGTACATGTTGATTTCGTAAATTTCTAAAATGGAAGAAAAGTAAAACTTGTGATTTATTTTTGATGCCAGAATTCTCAGAGCACAAGCTTGTCTACATGTAGTTTATGCTTTCACATATTTTCATTAATTATCTTCTCACACATTATATGTATAAAAATATGGGAGCTGGACAGCACAGCTCTTTTTACCCAAACAAGAATTAAAAAAACATGCAACGTTTTCTCTCAGTGACAAAAACTTAGAATTTTATTACCTTTTTGTGTCTTTGTATATGTATGTCATATATAACTGCAGATGTAAATACAACATATAGACTCTTCAAATCTGGTTTAATTTTAACTCTGTTTAACTTCACTTCAAACATACAGAGAAAATATTTTGTTACTGTTTTGAATGTAATGAATTGTTTTGTTATATTTCTAGTGTACACAGAGACCGTACCTTCTCGTGGAGGGATACGCCCTGGTAACCCTACCCCAGCACACGCTGAGGGTCAAGGGTCACCAGCTCCTCTCCGACCTCAAAATCCCACCCCCGTCCACGCTGGCAAGGAAAAAACAGGAAGACCAAGTAAGTATATAACTAAAACGTGGAGGAAGAATCGTAAACTGCTGATGACAGATGTGACATTTTCTAGGTGCATCTTTCAATAATAAAATGACTTTTGTTGAATTTTAACTTGTTTCTGCTCAGTAAATCCAACACCCAAACATGCAGGAGGTGGAATGGACTCTCCCTCCGACTTACCATCACAACTTGACTACCCTGCCATAATAATGGAACAGCCTCTTGAGGAACTGCTTTTTAATTAATTCAGCACTAGGAAATTTTAGGAGATATTTACAAACCATAAGGGTTGAAGAGTAAATCATATTTATATTTTAGGAGAGGATGAAGTTGACAATGAACAGCTGACCTTGACCAGAAGTCTGAAGGTCAATGTTTTAGGTCAGCCAAGGAAAAACCGTGTGCCCTTGCCAGCTGGAATCAAAGGAGGGCGACCAGGAGCTATTCCAAATATCAAGGTTGGTTCCCTCCATAGTACATAAACTACCTGTTTAGACTATGTTATCTGATTGGTTCATGGCAAATGTACAGATAACACATTTACATTAAGATGATATATAGACCATAAGACTTAGGCCATAATAAATAAATTGCTAGATTCTCATCCGAATTTTTTTAGAAATGAAGTTGACGGCTTTTATTATATATTTTTTTATTTTTTCAATTTTGCAGATTTTTTATTGACCTGGTCAATCGGTGTAATTTTAACTACAATACCCGAATAAAAGTCATAGTAAATGTTCAATTATCTCTTACTTTACATCATCACCAATCTTTTTCAACCAATGACCCTTGGTTAAAATATATACGCATGTATTACAGCAATTAACATCTTTTCAGCTGTCAAAATCATAAACTACCTGTTTAGACTATGTTATCTGATTGGTTCATGGCAAATGTATAGATGACACATTTACATACAGATGATATATAGACCATAAGACTTATACATGGCATTTTATTGTGCTACATACAGAATACTCTCAATCTTTACAGTACATTTCTGTTGAGGAGCCAGTGAGGAGGAAAGTCAACACCTCCCTGGTAGCTGGGGCCTCCATAAAGGGACAGAACCAGCTGTCACACATGAGTGGCCTGATCCTGTTTCCTGAGGAGGTGGAGTTTGGGGTACTGAAGGAGGGGTGTACCTACTGCTACACTGTGTACCTGAAGAACACGGGGGTAGACTCCTGTAGGTTCAGGATCAAACAGCCGCCCCCAGCCACTGGACTCAGAATCGTCTATAAACCAGGACCAGTATGTGTTGTTTTATTGTTGATACATGTTGTAGATTTTTAAATGGGTTAGCTTCACTTATCAGAAAAATGGATGATTATTAAATTATTTTCCTCATATGCAGCTTAAGATACGTCAACAACTTGATTTACTAATTTTAAGGCTTATATAGGACAAAAATATTCCTTTGTAGAATAAAACAAGGGCCATTTCCCTCTGTTTAAAATGTACATTTGAATGTTAAATATATGAAGTAAAATCCTGTTTGATTGATCTCTGTACAGATTGCTGCAGGAATGAGCTTGGAACTGAATGTAGAACTGTACGCTATAGCTGTTGGGGTCGAGGGAGAGATGGGCGTAGGCTCAGTCCGTCACGACTTGGAAATCGTCACACAGACTGACGTCTTGTTTCTACCTATCTCAGCAAATATCCTTTTTTAACTTACAAACACACACACTATTTATAATGTAACTTTTCATATAAACATGTAAATTTTTTTTTAAAAATCTGAATCCAGAACAGAAGGAAAAGAATACAAGATGCTGAAAAATCAATTTTTTGCAATTACTTATAGAAATTTCAGATAAAAATGGTATGTAGGTGTTGTTTTGCAAAATTACAAAGTGAGTGTTGCATAAACATTGTAACAATAGCCAAACCACAAACATTTTTCCTTAACCCTGTCTACCTGTTTTGACTGCGTATGAGTATGACCACAGAAGTCCCAACAGTCCAAAGGGAGGTAAATCTAAGGGAGCTAAACTAATATCCACTAAACCTCCCGCTACCACGGGCATCATCAGACCCAGGAAAACACCACTAGGAGGTAACGGCATCATTTGTCATAGCCGTAAAATAATGTTACGAGCGAGTGAATGGTAAAGAGGAATTAACAAAACAGATTTTACACTTTGGATTGAAGGAAGATTTTTAAAATACCTTTTTACAGTAAATGGACCTTAAATGTATATTATTATGCTTCCTGTCAGTTTGTCTCTATATAACCCATACCCTACATTGACCTAAGGATTTATATGTACTATGCCGAAATAGTAGCATATGCCACAACTTTTCGATGCCTTATCGATTACGCCATTTATTGTTGTGATATAAATAAAGTAGACAAATAATTTGAAAACAGTTATATTATTCTAAGGAAAATAATGTGTACAACAAACTTTCAAACTAATTACATACAGATCGTTAGATGAACTGATTTTATAGGGTCATTTAAATGCTTTTTTATATTTGGAAGGATGAAAATTATGTAACAATGCAAACAAATGATACTGAAAATAAAGATGTGTTTTCTTTCTTTCAGTAACCAAAATAACTAAGCATGCAAACAATTTTAATGAGTTCTTGCAAGTCCAAATGTCTCATAAATAATTACAACAGTCAGCATAATAATAACAATAGTGTTGCATTAATCCCTAGATATGTGCACCATGTGTAACTACTGTACATGCATAATGCAACACTATTATATAAATAGTTCACAAATTTTCTCTGTTTTATCATTGTGATACAAGTAAAGTTTAAGGATAAAAAAAGCAGACAAATGTTGAATTAATTAAAATGCATTTAAGTTTGATATGAAGATAGTGTGTGGATTGAATTGAACAAAAAAGAATGTGATTAATTTTTACCACTGACTGTGATATTTGTAATTTATAATGTATTTAGAGACATTCATTCATGTTTATATTTGATAATTTATGTATACTCTATTTTGAATTAAAATTCTACATGTGGAATAAAAAATATTGTCAACTGTAAAATGTATTTATTATCAAATACCAAAAACACAATTGTGACATTTATCTTTAACCCCCCCCCCCCAAAAAAAAAGGGGGGGGGAGTGGCAGTTGGCTACTGGACTCCATTACAGTGGATAAATGGAATAGATTTTTTTTTAATCATTAGGAAAAACTATTACTAATGCACGTAATTATCAACCTGTTAACAGTTTCTTTAAGATACCAATTATTGCTTGAGCCTGCTTTCCAACAAAAACAAAAGAAGTAGAGAAAAGTATTTTGGTGTCCGTAAAATAAATTCCTTTTATTTGTTCTTTTTTACAAAAACGTTTAGGTGTTCACCACTAGTGACGCAAACATTCGTTACCTTTAATTTACACAAATTAAAGAAACGTTTGACCAATGGAATACTCTAAATTCAAAGACTCGAGCATCACCGACTGTCAATGTACACACTGTATCTGTTAAGAAGCAATATCTTCCGTTTATAAATCGCTAGTTGAAGAATCGTCCATTGAAATATCTTCTTCTCTTTCGAGTTGATCCTATGAAATAAAGGTACAGAATTTAAGCTAAATCATTGTTTTTGACCCAAAAATTATTCCAAAGTAACAAATCAGACCGAAAATAATTACTTAACATATAAAATGCGAGCAAAATGTGACGGTTACGAAAAGAGTAACGCATAAATGTATATACACTTACATTTTGTGTGCATTTTTCTTTTGCTTGCTGCGGGGAATAGCAAAACAACAAATACAAAATGAAGAGATTAATTGTTGACATGAAATACATAACGGAGCCTGTAAACACAAAATTAAACGAGGATGAGCAAGTTCCATCGTCATTGTAATATGTGAAAAAGGGACAAGAGTCATGGCAAACGTGGTAGAAAGAGAACATACCAGCTCTATGGCAGTCCTCATTTGATATACACTTTTTAGAAATTTTATTCGCTACATAATCATCTGGACACATGTTCATACAATGAATTCGGTCGTTTTTATATTCATAAGGATGAGTGTAAGGACAATGCTCAGCACATATGTTTTCAATAATCACTTTATGGCCAGGACACTCTTCCAGACATTTGGTTCCATCGAGAAAGAACCTAGGAGAACATTTGTTGGTACACCTGACCCCACGATTTGTATGTTCAGTCAAAGCATGGTTAGGACATGTTCTGATGTTTTGACACTTGTTGTCTACGATGAGATATGGCGCTTCGCAGTTTTGCACACATTGATAAGTTCCCTCCAAATAGAACAAGTGACGCGGGCATCTGATGTGGCATCGTTTTCCTTCGGGAGCGACTTCAAAATAATGATGTTCATCAGAACATTTGTCCACACATACACTTTTATCAATGTAAAGCTTGGGAAAAAAGCACTTGTTCTGACATGTGTTGTTTTGGGATACTTTGAATCTGCTGCATTTATCAACACAGTTTACAATTACCATTGTTGGACCATAGTTATAGTTTCCAATAACTATGGTCTGATTTTCTCTCAGTTGATGTGATGAAGGGCAGATGTCGGTACAATTCCATAGAAATGTCCCAAGCGGAAATGGACAGTGATCATAGCATTTGTCATGCACGCTATGCGTTCCTTTAGGACAGGAGCTTACACACATTAATTTAGCGTTTTCGTTTTTATTTTCAATATATGTTAAAGGCTTTGAAGGAGGACATTCTTCCAAGCAGGTCTTCTGAAATAAAACTTTGTCTTTTGGGCAAGAAGTTACACACATTTTTCCATTTGTAATGTAAGATTTGGGACAATATTCCAAACAAAATCTATGTTCGGTTTTTATGAGTTCCCAGGACCTGTACGTGTCCCTGGTTTCCGTATAATTGATGTAAATGAAAGGCTTTTCAAGAGAACACTCGGAAACACAGGTAGAATTTAATACCAAGTTAGCAACACTTGGACAGGATTTAACACAAATATTTTTGTGAAAAAAATAGCCGGATGGGCAATTTTCAACACAATACATGTAGTCGTGTTGAGTATAGGGATATCTCTTTTCTTGTGAATGAATGATATTAACATAAGGGACTTCTGTTGGGCATTCTATTATACACGAAGCATTCACAATGAATTTTGCAATAGAAGGGCAAATGTCGACGCATCTTTGTTTAAAATAAAATTTCCGACATGATGAAACGCAGTCTAAGTCCAAGTTGGACAATGATTGCTCAAAGATTGCTTCTTCGGGACATTGGTCGACACAGGAACCATTATAACGTTTGTTTGTGGTGTCTGGACAATTGGTTGTACAGAAGTTACCGTGTTGGTGATGATGAGACTGGCACTGAGATAGACAGTCATATGTCTGCATATCCACGAAGAACTGACTTGATGGACACTCCTCCACGCAGACACCATTTAAGTTGTATTTTAATGGTCCATTGCACTTAACAACACATGTAAAATTTGCCCTCTTGTAACTCGGATTAGTACAGGAATCTACGCACATAAATTCTGCTTTGCCAAAATTCTTTATATTTGGTATAGATGTAAATTCTCGAGGGTAAATAAACGGATTTGTATTTGGGCATTCTGTAACACAAGTATCGTTGAATAGATGTTTTCCAGGTGGACAAAACTTAACACAAGTATTATTATCGGTGACCAGATCAGAGGGACATTGTTCTATACAGGACAAAATTGAGTTGTACTTTGTTCTTTTTAGAATCACGTAGTTTGCAGACTTCGGACACATGGAGAAACAGGTCCTATTAAACAGAAAGGGGAGGCTCTCAGGGCATGATAAATTACACGAGGTCCCATTCCTGCTTGTGAAATCTGGACACTCTGTCAGGCAGTGAATGAAATGGCCTGTGTTCAAAGTGTACGGTTTATTTGTGGAGCAGACAGAGTTACAGAATTTTTCCCCTTGTAAGCACAAACCTTTACAATTCGGAGTTGTTAAATAAGGTGCATCTAAGGGACATCGCATCAGACAAATTCCGTTAAAAGCAACGGTGAATTCAGGACAAAATTTGAGGCAATTGCTTTCATAACAGTATGGAAAATGTGATGAACATAAAAATTTTGAGCATGGAATATCACTTGACATGTTGCAATAACGCACTATTCCGTTTGACAAGACTTGACTGAAGTCGGGGCATTCTTTTATACAATGGCCTCGATGAAGTACTGTTTCATGTGGACATATTTTTAGGCAATATGTTCCGTCATAGTAATCACTTTCATATGGCAGACAGTAACCATTGATTTTCTGAAAGAAAAAAAAAACTTTGGATACATATTTGTTTATTTGTTATACATATTATGATAACGACCAGAAGATTTTAAAGACTGTTCTCTTACTGTTTACATGAAAAAGTTTAAACTCATCGTGGCTACACGGTTGCATTATACTCGGTGGAATTTTAGAAACGTTCCTAGTTTTTCTAAAGTTGAATTTTAATATTATGTAGATGCTTTGATATTAACGTGACTATCATGGTATTGCTGTTATAGAGAAGAATTTATTCTCTATATACATGTACCTGCATGCATTTGTAAATTTCTAACCTTTATTTATTCTCTATGTACATGTGCATTTGTACATTGATTTTTTAATCCGAGTTTTTAGCCTTAACATAACTCGAGTCCATTTTTACAAATTAAAGAATTTTGAAATGCTTGCAAATTGATGATTTAATTGTGGGTCTTAAATGAATTAAAGCATTTCTTGTGTATTCCCATGTTAAACTTTAATCCCATTCTGTAGCCTATTTTATCCAGGGGTGAGGTGGGGAGAGCGGGGTGTTAGATCATGCAGTTAAAAATCAGTTTAAAAATGAAACTTTCAGGAAACGTAAATGTAATATGCCTAGTGCATGGTTCTTGAAAGAAACACTTTTAAAAAAATTTCTACTATATTATATAAATATAGCCCTTTGATGAGGTCGATCCATAGATGTATCGACTTCACAGAAAAGCATTTCGACCGAGCACGAATGCGCGCGACAAGTGATTAAATATACATCCCCCACCCCCAATTGATTTATTAGGTTTATTTTTATATGAAAATTATTTCTCCTAAATATGCTACAAAGTATTTTTTAAGCATATTAAACCAAATTTCAATTATTTTACGTCCATGATGGATATCAAAATAATCGTCAGATTATGCACAATCTTAATTTGTCAATTGCAATTTCATATTTTTACTCTGTTTTGATTGAAAAAAAAATCGGTTTTCAAAACCCTAACACGATTATGAAAGAACTTCAAAGCCATTGATTGTTTACCAGTGACATGGGGTACACAGTAATGACACCTAATGTCGTTCTCACTGTCCACTATACCTTGTTTATTTTGTGGCAGAGAGCAACCGTGTCCACTGTCGCATAATATTCGTTCCGGGTGTTTCGCGTTCCGGCCGGAACCTTAAAATCATAATATTGGTTCCGGATTTTACTGTAATATAGGTTCCGGCCATGAGTTCAATCTTCGAATCGCGGTATCTGTCCAGATTTCATTCCACATTGAGTCATGGAAGTAGTGGGTTTTTTTCTTGAGGTTTTAGCACGACGCAGCGACATTCTATTTTCGTGCGTCGCGCAATGTTTTGTACTTACCAATTTTAAAAAATAGATGAATAAATAGCCTGATGATACTCTTTCTGATACATATGACTTTGGTCGCATTATAAGGCTTTGTTTATCTTATGTATACAAATCGGTTATCTACAACTCAATTCCTTTTGTTTATTTAGTGCATGCCAGTTGTGAATCTCTCGCTTCAATGCACGCAAATCCGTAAAGACAGGTAAAGAGCATGGTTAGGAGATAAACAATTTAAGACCGGGTTAACGAAAGACTAACATTTAAAGAAACACAATGTCAAAGAATTAATTAATTGATAAATTTTTTATTTCAGAATTCGATAAAAGTAAAGAAGAAATATTGATAATTATATATTTACGGAATGAAATTCTCTGTTTAAATGATATTACACGTGTTGACATTTCACCAAGTCGAGGCTCAAACACTGCTTCCATTACTCATAATTAAAGATTTTTTTTCATAATTAGATATTATTGATGAAATGGCATGATAATATGGTTTATATTCCATTTGAAATATGTATATGATTCACTGTTGAAGAATGTTACGTATATGGTTTATTTTCTTCTAAATTAATCTTCATACTACATGTAGGTACAGTACATGTATTTCATGATGATGTGATTTATTCTGAACTGAAATAAACATGAAAACATAAGAATACGAGTATGGTTTATTCCCTTTAATACCAAAAAAGCCAAGCACGTGTAATTAATGAAAATGATAATTTTTTTAATCGTCGGAAGAAAAAAAATAGTAATTGAGATATGAAAAGTAAAGACAATATATGTTAACTGGCTCGGCTTTTTATTTAATACGATCAAGTTAAAAAAAATCATTCTTTTTTTCTTTTACTTTTCTTTTCTTTTTTTTTTTTTTTTTTTTTTTTTTTTTTTTTTTTTTTTTTTTTTTTTTTTTTTTTTTTTTGTTATTTGTTTGTTTTAACTATTTTGCTACTTTGAAGTCTCTTTCCTTTTTATGACGAAGATAAGTTAGCACGGATCCAAAATTATATGATCATATTTAACGTTCCGGTGTTGTAGCATAGACTTTCCCCCCGCATAGACTTTCCCCCCGGAAAAACGGGCCCGGGTTAGAGTTTCCCCCCAGAAAAACGGGCCTAGCACAGAATTTCCCCCTCGGAAGAAACAACCCGGGCCCGATTTTCCCCCCTAGGAAAAACCGCCCCAGTATAGAATTTCCCCCTGAATGCCAGTACGCTTTTTCCCCCTCCTTGCATTTTTTTACTTTAAAAACCGTGTTTGGTTCGGCTATTAGATTTCTGTATTGTCCGTATTCTTAATAACTTATCAAATGTGCAGCATCAAATCACATATTTTCATTACTAGCATTGTTAATTTATAGTATAAAAAATAAATGAGTGTCATAAAAAGGAATGTTTGAACACTATATGAATTCATATTAGATTCTATTTCCATGACTAAAGCAAACATTTTGGATTATGCATGCACTTAAAGGGGCATAGACACAGATTCAACTGAATTTTCAAAACTAATTTAAATGCTCACAATTTCAAATTAAGGCATCGTCTAATGATTAGCAAAAATTTGAACATCCTTTTTTGATTAACAAATGAGATACAAAACTAAAAGTTCTTCAAAACGTAAACAAGGTTCGCGCCCCGTTATTGTTTACATATTGGAAATGTCATGTTAATAACAAAATGAAATTCATTAAATTACTAGAAACTGTCTGAAAGTATTTATAATTGACCTCTTTATTGAAATTATCTACTTTAAACAAATATATTTTAGTATTTTAATCCATGTAATCAAAACATGACACAGGCCCTGTTTACATAACATATTTTTGGAGCTCTAAATCTTGTATTTTTACAACTGATTTTTAAAATTTAATGATCACTAAAATTACCTTATTCAAATAATCATAAAAATTATGAGAGATAATTTTTTTTATTTTTTTTCCCTGAAACTGTGTCTATGCCCATTTAAACTAGAAATGTTTAAAAGCAAGCAGTGCATCCATAATATACTGGGTTTTTTGTTTAACTTTACGATTTTATTGGTAACCTTTGTTATATAAAATTGATATTTGTTTGATTTTGTTTTGTTGATTGTTTTTTTTTTTTTTTTTTTTTTTTTTGCAAATCATATATTATATATATGATATCCTAAAATGATGAAAAACAAATCTGTATTACATTTATTTTTGGCATAAAAAAAAATTGGTATATTAATTGTTAGAAATTAATTGGTCTTTCAAAGAACACGCACTTAAACGCACGTACAAGTACACCATGTTTTTACGTTGATTTTTGTTTCCGTTAAACAAAGCAACTATATAGTTTTCACAACAAGGCCAGTTTTTATAAATTATGCTCTTGATTCTTTTATTTTTAATTAAACGCAGTGCTTGAAGATTGTAACATCATCTGCCTTAACTGAATTTAAACTAAAGCTTAAAAAATTAAGAGGAAGCAGATGAATTTATGATTTTTTTTCTCGCAAATAAAACAATGTTAAAGTCGGTTAATCATATCATTTGTAAAAAAAAAATGACAGAAATAAAGGAATATCAAAATTTATTAGATTACTGATTACTTATCAGCATCGCAAATACAATTCACAGCAAGTAAAGCATTTTTAACACACTTGCTAGATCAAAACTGTAATAAAATGCAAAGTCCAAACAGTGCAAAACTGATAACAAAAACTATCAAATTCAATTGCCATATATGTATTAAAAGAAACATAAATTGATATTCATAGTTCTTCAATTCTGAAAATAATTCAGCCACTTTTATGTGTGTCTGTGTTCTCAACTAAATTCTATGTCTTTGTCGGGAATTTTAATTGTTATTTAAATATCTTCTACATAGTTGAAATGAACTCCACTTTCGTTGGTTAAGTATATACACATATTTGTGAATTTGAAGTTTCCAAGGGTTTCGCTTGAATATTTTACCCATCGCATAGATTTGCCGTACTGACAATAGATTTGAATGTCAGTATTCAACAAAGCTGCTGTCGCTAGAATTTCGGCTTCTGTTGCCCATGTTCCGTTTATAATCATGTTAGAGCAGTCAATATAGCGGGTACCAAAGTGCCGTTCCACTTTCTCCGAATTGGTTTTCATCCATTTCACGACAGAGTTTCGTATGGCTTTATGCTGGGCCTGGCATCCTGTAAGAGCATAACTAATACATCTGAAAAAACAGTTGCCGTCTCCTCTGACTTCCATAACTTTTAATGGACAATGATTTGCTAAAGGTTTTTTTTATTTTTCCACGGTGTCTTTTTCTCAAAGACACATTAACGTTATGCTTTGAAATTTGGTTTTCTTGCCAAGTAGCATCAACTGGAAAAAACGTATTTTTTAATTCAAAGCTTCCAGATACAAGTACCTCCTCCTCAACCCTTTTGCCATTCCCAGAAACATCATCAGCAGCAACATCAGCATCTGCTTCCTTGACACTTTCGTCATCCTTAGAAACCTCTTCGTCATCATCATCTGTTTTCTCCTCCTCTTCCTCCTCCTCATAGTCATCAACTCTTTCGTCATCCCTAGGAACCTCATCATCAGCAGCATCAGCATCTGCTTCCATGACACTGTCGTCATCCCCAGAAGCCTCTTTGTCACCATCATCTGTTTTCTTTTCATCAACATCAACGATTTCTTCAACATCATTTGTGACTTTGTCATTAGCGTCACGTTCTATCCCTCCGATACTGTTTGATATCTTCTGATCAATGTCTGCATGGTTGTTAGCATTAAGACGAAGTTTTTCTTTTCTGTCAACACACTTCTTCAGAAGTTTCACATTGTAAGAACGCTTAATGAGAGAACCTTTAAGATTTCTCAATTTAACGCACCCTTTGCTTAGAACACTGGTAACAATGTACGGTCCTAACCATTTTTTTTCCTTTTTACCACCCTTTCTTGTTGATTTGTGGGTGTTAAATACAAATACCTTTGTTCCTTCATGGAATTGTCTGAGCGGTACTCGTTTGTCTTTGTAGTACTTTTTTTTGCTTTGCTTGGGATAGTTCAACATTTTCTTTTATCTGTTCGTTAATGCTGTCTCTTGTGTTTTGGAGCTTTTCGATCACCTCTTCAAAAGCTGGTTCTGTATTATCCGTAGTATACTCGCTTTCAGATTGTTGTTCTCTTTGTGGAAACGCATTCCGTCCAAATATTGCCTCAAATGGCGAATATTTTGTCGTTTTGTGCTATAAACAATAAAATAAAATATGTAGATTAATTTGCTTTAATATTGTTAAAAAGCACAGTTCCAAAGCTTAAATCAAAGTACTGAAAGTACTGACAGTTGGTAAAATTATTTAAACATTCTGAAAGTAAACAGTCTTCTAAAATTTGTCGCCCCCTAGGTTTAAGCCGAAATTACATTAAAAGCATATTTGACTTTGGAGTGCTTATAAGTGCAGCCGAACAAATTATAGGAAACCATTTTGTTCCATGTATTCTTTGATCTTCATCTATTCGAATGAGTTATATCACTAGTCTAGTAAAATTATAAACAAAATTTAAATGTAAATTTAAAATGATACCTTGGTTGATCTGTAGGCAAACAAAACATCATCAATATGTTCGTCCCAATCACACAGATCTGCGCTGCTTATTTTAACTAGCGACTCCTGCAGAGTCCTGTTGAATTTCTCAACTAAACCATTAGTCTGGGGATGGTAAGCCGACGACAATCTTTGTGATCCAGAGTACTGGTTGATTAGTTTTTGTAATGTTAGATTAACAAATTCTCTCCCCTGGTCACTAGAGTAGACTGTGGGAAACCCCATTCTTTTGCAAATCTTTAAGAGTTCAAATGCTATAGTTTCTGCTCGTTTATTTGAAATTGCGGCTGCTTCGGGCCATTTTGTAAAATAGTCCATTAATGTTAGGATGTAACAATTTCCGGATGACGACTTTGGCATGGTTATGAGGTCCATTCCTACGTGATACCAAGGTTTAACAATCGAAATGGGGAAAAGTTCTGCATCCGACTTTTTAAAAGCTCCTCCCTCTTGACATTTCAAGCATGAATTGACATATTCTTCAACGTCTCCTGACAAATTTTTCCAAAAGTACATCTCTGATATGGCCCACAGTGTTTTTTCCCGGCCAAAATGGCCGTTTTTGTCATGCTTGTCTTCCAAGATCCTTTTTCTCTCTGACAAATTAATGACCACTTGTCTTAACTCCCCCTTCTGGTTTTTCCAGTACAATATTTCATTTTTTATTTCGTATGCTTTACTCCTCGATCTGATTTTTCGTTTTGTGTCCTTACATACATTTGGAGGGTATACTTTACATTTTAGGTAATTGAAGACATTTGTCATGTCTTCGTCCATTTCTACTCCGTTGAGGGGGCATCCGAAAAACGTCCGAGGTTTCCTAGTCCATATAAACCATGTAGGAGTCGAAACTTTGACACACAGATAAAATATTCAGTTGGAATATATATTTGATCAATTGTGTAGTCTAAAAGTTTTTCTTCTACCTCACTGAACAAGTCAAGCAAAAAATCTGGGGCATCAACACATTCTACTGACCCTACCAATAACGTCTGTACAACATCTTGGAGTATAACACTAAAATGAATGTTAGTTTTCAGAATATCTTCAATTTCATACACACACTCCTTTATCTGTAACTTAATATACTGATCAGTTCCCGTAATGCGCAAAATATTATTCAATACTTGTATCAAGGCGTTACTTTTTGGGAGCAAACCTGTAATTTCTCGCTTTTGAATTATGTTGAAAAGCATGGTTTTATCAGAACTGGAAGTTTTCGTTTAAAAAGAAAACCAAAACCAAAATGCATAACAAAACGAATTCCGGAAAAACGCAATCCGGAATTATAAGGGGGGAAAGTCTATACTGGGGCGGTTTTTCCCCCCAAGGGGAAAAGTCTATACTGATTTTGTTCAAAGGGGGAAATTCTATACTGGGGCGCTTTTTCCGCCCAGGGGGGAAAGTCTAACCCGGGCCCGTTTTTCCGGGGGGAAAGTCTATGCGGGGGGAAAGTCTATGCTACAACACCGGGTTAGCATTGCTGAGTGCATTTTCAAGTATTTTTGCTACTTTGGTGTTTCTTTTCCACTTAATGACAAAAAATAAGTTAGCCCGGAACCAAAAATTATGCTCATAATAAACGTTCCGGGTTGCAATTACTGAAAGATATTTCATACATTTTTGCTACTTAGTTGTTTCTTTTCCATTTTGTTACGAAGCTAAGTAAGCCCGGAACCAAAACTTATGCACATAATAAACGTTCCGGGTTGCAATTACTGAAAGATATTTCATATATTTTAACCACTTAGTTGTTTGTTTTCCGGTTTTTGACGAAGCTAAGTTAGCCCGGAACCAAAAATTATGCTCACAATAAACGTTCCGGGTTGCAATTACTGAAAGATATTTCATATATTTTTGCTACTTAGTTGTTTCTTTTCCATTTTGTTACGAAGCTAAGTTAGCCCGGAACCAAAACTTATGCTCATAATAAACGTTCCGGGTTGCAATTACTGAAAGATATTTCATATATTTTAAAGAATTAGTTGTTTGTTTTCCGGTTTTTGACGAAGCTAAGTTAGCCCGGAACCAAAAATTATGCTCATAATAAACGTTCCGGGTTGCAATTACTGAAAGATATTTCATATATTTTAAACAATTAGTTGTTTGTTTTCCGGTTTTTGACGAAGCTAAGTTAGCCCGGAAAAAAAATTATGCTCATAATAAACGTTCCGGGTTGCAATTACTGAAAGATATTTCATATATTTTTGCTACATAGTTGTTTCTTTTCCATTTTGTTACGAAGCTAAGTTAGCCCGGAACCAAAAATTATGCTCATAATAAACGTTCCGGGTTGCAATTACTGAAAGATATTTCATATATTTTTGCTACTTAGTTGTTTCTTTTCCATTTTGTTACGAAGCTAAGTAAGCCCGGAACCAAAACTTATGCTCATAATAAACGTTCCGGGTTGCAATTACTGAAAGATATTTCATATATTTTTGCTACTTAGTTGTTTCTTTTCCATTTTGTTACGAAGCTAAGTTAGCCCGGAACCAAAACTTATGCTCATAATAAACGTTCCGGGTTGCAATTACTGAAAGATATTTCATATATTTTAAACAATTAGTTGTTTGTTTTCCGGTTTTTGACGAAGCTAAGTTAGCCCGGAACCAAAAATTATGCCCATAATAAACGTTCCGGGTTGCAATTACTGAAAGATATTTCATATATTTTAGCTACATAGTTGTTTCTTTTCCATTTTGTTACGAAGCTAAGTTAGCCCGGAACCAAAAATTATGCTCATAATAAACGTTCCGGGTTGCAATTACTGAAAGATATTTCATACATTTTTGCTACTTAGTTGTTTCTTTTCCATTTTGTTACGAAGCTAAGTTAGCCCGGAACCAAAAATTATGCTCATAATAAACGTTTCGGGTTGCAATTACTGAAAGATATTTCATATATTTTTGCTACTTAGTTGTTTCTTTTCCATTTTGTTACGAAGCTAAGTAAGCCCGGAACCAAAACTTATGCTCATAATAAACGTTCCGGGTTGCAATTACTGAAAGATATTTCATACATTTTTGCTACTTAGTTGTTTCTTTTCCATTTTGTTACGAAGCTAAGTAAGCCCGGAACCAAAACTTATGCACATAATAAACGTTCCGGGTTGCAATTACTGAAAGATATTTCATATATTTTAACCACTTAGTTGTTTGTTTTCCGGTTTTTGACGAAGCTAAGTTAGCCCGGAACCAAAAATTATGCTCACAATAAACGTTCCGGGTTGCAATTACTGAAAGATATTTCATATATTTTTGCTACTTAGTTGTTTCTTTTCCATTTTGTTACGAAGCTAAGTTAGCCCGGAACCAAAACTTATGCTCATAATAAACGTTCCGGGTTGCAATTACTGAAAGATATTTCATATATTTTAAACAATTAGTTGTTTGTTTTCCGGTTTTTGACGAAGCTAAGTTAGCCCGGAAAAAAAATTATGCTCATAATAAACGTTCCGGGTTGCAATTACTGAAAGATATTTCATATATTTTAGCTACTTAGTTGTTTCTTTTCCATTTTGTTACGAAGCTAAGTTAGCCCGGAACCAAAAATTATGCTCATAATAAACGTTCCGGGTTGCAATTACTGAAAGATATTTCATATATTTTTGCTACATAGTTGTTTCTTTTCCATTTTGTTACGAAGCTAAGTTAGCCCGGAACCAAAAATTATGCTCATAATAAACGTTCCGGGTTGCAATTACTGAAAGATATTTCATATATTTTTGCTACTTAGTTGTTTCTTTTCCATTTTGTTACGAAGCTAAGTTAGCCCGGAACCAAAAATTATGCTCATAATAAACGTTCCGGGTTGCAATTACTGAAAGATATTTCATATATTTTTGCTACTTAGTTGTTTCTTTTCCATTTTGTTACGAAGCTAAGTAAGCCCGGAACCAAAACTTATGCTCAAAATAAACGTTCCGGGTTGCAATTACTGAAAGATATTTCATATATTTTTGCTACTTAGTTGTTTCTTTTCCATTTTGTTACGAAGCTAAGTAAGCCCGGAACCAAAACTTATGCTCATAATAAACGTTCCGGGTTGCAATTACTGAAAGATATTTCATATATTTTAAACAATTAGTTGTTTGTTTTCCGGTTTTTGACGAAGCTAAGTTAGCCCGGAACCAAAAATTATGCTCATAATAAACGTTCCGGGTTGCAATTACTGAAAGATATTTCATATATTTTAGCTACATAGTTGTTTCTTTTCCATTTTGTTACGAAGCTAAGTTAGCCCGGAACCAAAAATTATGCTCATAATAAACGTTCCGGGTTGCAATTACTGAAAGATATTTCATATATTTTTGCTACATAGTTGTTTCTTTTCCACTTTGTTACGAAGCTAAGTTAGCCCGGAACCAAAAATTATGCTCATAATAAACGTTCCGGGTTGCAATTACTGAAAGATATTTCATATATTTTAGCTACTAAGTTGTTTGTTTTTGAGTTTTTGACGAAGCTAAGTTAGCCCGGAACAAAAATTATGCTCATAATAAACGTTCCGGGTTGCAATTACTGAAAGATATTTCATATATTTTAGCTACTTAGTTGTTTGTTTTCCAGATTTTGACGAAGCCAAGTTAGTCCGGAACCAAAAATTATGCTAATTAAATTTTGATCCACTCGCATACTCGCTACCTTTAGTGTAGCTACTAGCGAGTATGCGAGCAAATCTAGCATCTAAAACCATATTCGAATACATGTATTGTATAATCATATATGTGACCCCTCCTCCCCGCAAAAAAAATCAGGTTTGGAGACGATTAAAGTTTTTATTTTCCTTATTTATTAAGAACATTTCTGAGTTAGTACTTCTTTATTGGGTGTTTCCCTATTCCTTTTTTTAGAAGCATGTTTGAATTTAAGACTGATATGTTTAAGTATTTGTTTTTTAAAAATTCATTTTAATCGATTTCTATTGCATACATATATCTTTAGCAGATTAGTTCATTTTTATCCAAGTTTTGTGTAAAAAAAGAGAGTAATATAATAGAGTTATTTGTGTACAATCTAGTTTACATTTAGCAGAAACAGAAAAACGGAGCTACATGACAATATACAAGTGACTTTTCTTTTTCTTTTCATAGTTGTTTGTATTATTGGATAAGTATTTTAGAAAAGATATAAGGCATACATGTAACATCTTTTCTTGTTCTTTGTCCAAGTTGATCAACAAACTCTCTCTCTCTCTCTCTCTCTCTCTTCAACGAAGAGGAAGTCACCTCTATAAACTTTCTTTAATTTTTTGAACATGTGTTGTTTCTCTGCTGTTTTTATTATTTACATTGGCTTAAACCAATAAATGCAGCAGATTGGTTTAGATCTTTTGAATGTACTCCCCCCCCCCCCCCCCCCCCATCCCTCCGTTTTTGTCACAAATAAAAAACAATCAATTGTATATTTTTATCTACTTAGAAAGGACTTGAATAAATCTTTTTCAATGTTTTAATCTTTAAATGCATACATGTCAATGAGCGCATTCTTATTAACTGTTCTCTCCATTTCTATTTGTACAGGTATATACATATATTCACACGGTATGATGTTCATAAATGGATTTAGTTCATTAAAGAAATTATTAATTTACAGTAAATAGTTGATTTATTTAAACGAAAAACATTCTCAATTGTTTTCCTGACACCAGCGTTTCTTAAAATCACCTTAAAAAAGAATATGTACTTTTCAATCTTGATATAATTCTAAATGAATTAAAGATTTAACATATAATAAAGATAATAGTGAATAAAAATTCATTTGAAAAGATGTTATAATAAGATCATCAGATAATCAAATACATTAATTTTGCATTTATTCTCTTATTTTTTCACTATAAGTTCATCTTTCACATACTTACTAAGCTAAGTATAGTATAGACTATAGCAATTAAGTAATTATCTCACCTGGTCAAAGTCCCAGTTTTCACACATTTTTAATTACCTGTAATTAAATGTGTGCAAAACGGGAACAAACCGATATG